ATGCCACATACATGTGTGATAGCTTATGGAACTTTTATTCAGGCTATGCATAACTCATTGCTTTCTGATACACAAAGTCTAGCTCGGCGAACAGGTGATATTCATTTTTTTATTTTCACACACATCTAACGCCAGACTATGTGTCAAACAAATGGTACAATAGACTATATGGAAAAGAAGAACGTTCCATTATTCGCACGTGGGCGGAATACTGCAAAGTTGTCCATGCCAAAACAAGTGAATTTTCTTGAGGAATCCACAATCGGAGCCTTTGGCTAGCCAAAGCCTGACCCGCAAGGCAGCGGAGCGGTGTGTGAAAACCTCAATCCATTGTGGGCCGGTGTCCAGTTCGTCGGATTATTCGCCCTTTAGACGGGGTCAAACGTTCAAGGTCCCCAATACACCTCGATGCTCAATCGAGCCGGTAACCACTGCCACAACCAGGAAATTGTGTGATCCGTACGCCTCCTCTTAATTGGTTTGGTTTCAGGGTTTTTGGCCAACTCCCCTAGTTGAACTACCAGTGGTCCACTAACCCGGATGTTGGCTTTTCGTCCTCTCAGTTTGATGGGAACTACCTCCGCCACGAGAAAGTAGGGAGTAAGGATTCCTCAGGAGGGGCTATTTGTGACGCTTGATCGTATGGGCGCATTTCGCAAGGTGCATGGGAAGGGTGACCAACCTCACCCCCGATCACACTGACGCTTTTGGATCCGAAATGAATGGCAAACTAAATAGTGAAATGAATAGCAGTTCATCTGAGCGACGGGAACCGATTTTTCAATACTTCATCAGCATCGTAGATGCGGTAAGGTGTATGTTGTGTTCACCCTCTCGTTGTTTAATGTGAAATCTTCGTGATCCGTTTCTTTCATGTTCATCTCTAAAGTATTTTATCTCGAGGATCCCCGTTGGGCCTAGATAAAATCTGCAGGTCGAACCGGTTATATTCGTATTGGTTCATCCATGTGATTGTGCTGGCTCAGTGAGTGACTATATGTGAAAAAAGTAGAACTGTTGGTGTTGCCCGACTAGTAGGACTTACGCTCTGCCAGACGTGGGTAGCGTTGGATCTGTTTACAATTCTTCCAGTGGAGAGTAGGTGTGGCACTAAGCCGAAAGACATCAGGTGATTCGTTCCACATTATTTGTAATATTTAAAAAATGATTGTAGCTGGTTTGGTGATGTATCACATAAAATAAGTGTGTTACTTAATAATTCTCTTTCATTTCAGAAATGGTTATATATATATATATTCCAAAATAAGTAGTATGTGAATGACCGGACAACATTCCCCCGGAGGCACACGACCCGTTTTACGGTTCTTATCGCCCGTCAGGCATGCGTATCCGGTAATCCTTTGTCAGTTCATGCATATACTTTTACCCAGAAAGTGCATTTTCGTCACAATAACCTTATTTTCAGCTCCCGGTGACTTTTGGATAGATAGCTCTTTCAGAGCCAGTCCATTGGAGAATCAACACCATGATTCGATGTTTTTTAGGTGGGTTAGAGACGAAAATACACTTCCTGGGTACAAGTATTTGAATGGACTGACAAACTTCAATCCATTGTGGACCGGTGTCCAGTTCATTGGATCATACGCCCTTTGGACGGGGTCAAATGCCCAAGGTGCTCGGTACACCTTGATCCCCAATTTTGAGCAGGTGACCACTGCCACAACCAGGAAGGTTTGTGGTTCATACGCTTCTTCTTGGTTGGCTTGGAATCAGGGTTTTTCGCTAACCCCCCTAGGTGAGCTACCAGTGGTCCACCAATCCGGTTATAGCCCGGGATGTCGTTTATTGTTCATAAATGCAGCCTTTGATGGACTTAATTATACAAAGAAATTGTCCAAAAAACTGACACATTTGCCATTTTTATGGAAATCGTTGTGCAACCTCATCTCATCCTGTTTTACTTTTCAATAAATGACCGTGACATGTCCGTCCGCTGCACATGATGCCACCCGCGAAATAGGAAATCAACGGACGGAGAGAATTACCTTCCACTAAGCGCCTAGCTCTCACCTGTGGCTCCAAGACGCTGTTTCGATGCAACAGCGGTCACACCCCGGTAAACCGC